GTAATGGTGAAGTGTTGTGTTTTCTTCGCGGTACGGACTGGATTCTTAAATATTATTTAGACGAGTTTCGGCTTTAAAGGATTAACCAGTTGATATTTGTAATGGTGAAGTGTTGTGTTTTCTTCGCGGTACGGACTGGATTCTTAAATATTATTTAGACGATGTATTACTTTTTTTGTAGTTGCCAAGGTTACGTAATTATTGCCGTAGATTGCATTCCTGTATCACAGTTACTGAACGATATTACAAAATTGTCGGCAAAATTTCAGGAAAGATAATACTGATATTTTACAATTGTAATTTAACAGCCGTGTCGTGGTAACAATGAAACTATCATCACCTGTTTCCAGGAAGAACAACTTAGAGTGACAGTGTTTGTATACGAGTAGAAACTCGGGTAAAAGAAGGCGTTTTTAACAGCTCATTTCTTAACTGCACACTCCGCAGTTAGTGAAAGAATTCATGTAAAGTGGTGCCTCCTATTTTCTTATGATAAATTTAAGTGAGTCTCTCGGGCGACGCTTTGACGCGAAATATAATCGAATTCCATTATAAAGGAGACTACGATATGCATTTAATATAATTAATTACTTTTTATATAATCGTTTATATAAATTTAACAACATTTTAAATATGCGAAGTCTTATTTACGTGTAATTAAAATTATGTAATTTTGTTGCCATAATCGACTTTGTTTTTTTGTTTTTTTCACTTAAAAATGTTAACTCCCAGCCACTTTTTGGATTTGTTGTAAAATTTGTTTTTTTTTCATTTCGCTGAGTGGGGAGTTATTAAGCATTGTCATGCATTGTGGATTTGCGTTGAGGAATTGTAAAACTACGGCCAGTGTTGAGTGATGCCTGAGCGAAATCACTAAATTATTCACAAAAAAAAAGTGTTCTTTGAACTGCTGTTTACCAACGTACTTGCGTTACTGTCGTTTTCATGTGTCCCCCGCTTATTACAATAGATTAATTTAACAATTATTAACAACTTCCAATATGGATTATAAAAATAACTTATTTGTATCAAAGACCAATATGATCCAGATTTTGGGGCCAGGTTCTTATAAACAACGCCATGACCAACAAACTGAGTCATTTTAACTAAAATAGATCACAATTTTCCCCCCCCGTTATTTTGTGCTCACAATTGTTATTATACAAATGAAATTATTCGTTAAATTCTATTTATGAACATGTAAATGTTCTTTGCTTTTAGAAGTTTAACGTCTGAGACGTATTTTACCTGACCCCTCATTGTTTTAGCCGGCCGATGCGAACTGTTGCCCACTTCTGAGGAAGACCGGACTGAACCAATAATGGACCCTCGTTGCCTTGGGACGCTCGACGACATTTTCACGATATAACAATGAAGATAGATAAGATTTGGTGTTGTACAGTGAACCAAACACCGTCTAGTCCTGTGTTACGCTTAATCGTAAACACGAATGTCGTTAACACGCGTTTTTGATATCTTAGAGCATCAGTGTCCTATCCACCGTAACATTGTTGAGACTTTTACCTTCTCCAGACTTATCCGGGATTGGGATACAAAGCAGTGGTATTCAACCTGGGGTACTCGAAGACATTTTAGGGGGGGTACGTGAAATTTTAAAAAGAAAATATTATTTTATGATAAACACTGAATAATCAGTAATTTAATTTATTTAATTTATTTTAGATGTAGATTATATAATATGTATAATTTGAATTATACACCAACAACTTTGGGTGTAAAAAGTTGAAGAGAAATTATATCTGGGGGTACGTGAAATTTTAAAAAAAAATATTTTATGATAAACACTGAATAATCGGTAATGTAATTTATTTAATTTATTTTAGATGTAGATTATATACTACGTATAACTTGAATTATACACCAACAACTTTGAAGAGAAATTATATCTGGGGGTACGCGAACAAAAAAGTTTGAATACCACTGATATAAAGCAACGCTCACCAGACTACTGTAACGCGATCTGAAGCCCCTGCAAATTTCACGAAATTCAGATTAATGACCGGAAGAGGCTTCTTGGTCATGTTGCATCAGTATGTTTTGGGAGGTAACTGTCCTGCATGCTCCTGGCAACGAGTGACCAATATTGTGAGCGATATTTTAGAGCGAGGCTACTTAGACATTCACTCCAAGGGCCGGCCGACGCTCTGTTGAGGCTTGTTCGCACTAGTTAAGCGCTAGGACGAGGTACTGGAACGAGTGCCTTGCCACTCGACTCATGTAAACACACACTGGCTTCTAAATAATTACGAATGGGGGTATATTAACTGTATCCAGCAACTCGTCTTCGACTTTGAACCCGTGTGAACAATTCTCTTACTGTGTCTTCTCGTACGGGGCATGTTTAAACGCGAGAAACAGCTATTCCTCTGGCCAGCCCATGTCTTCACCCACAAGATCATAAAACCTCTGGTTATGCTCACCAAAGAAACGACGTAGCTTAGTTATTACCGTCGGATCCACCCTCGGGTGCCTTCGACCTTTGCTCTCCCGAAGACATTTGTCAGCAGTCTCGTTTCTCAAGCAGAAGAAGCCTTTCGTGTGGTTGAAGTAGAAATTGTGTCGGCCTATCCGTGGTTCCAACCCCAGAAACTTCTCGATGCGATGAAGTTGGGGTACGGGGTCCTCGATAAGGAGGTCACCGTTCACTATCAGGATCTGCGGTCTTTGGAACACTTCCAGCCACCGGAGAAGGAAGGTGTGGTACAGTGAGATGGCCAGCGGCCGATAGGCCAAGTTCACAGAGCCGTCGGGTCGGATTGCTAGCTGCTCGAAGCTCCGCTGTGGCGAGTTGACCATGGAGGACGACGAAGCCGTGGCAGCGTGACTCCTCAGCTGCGTGTAGTCTGAGATGGCGCGGGTAACTGGCTCACGTACTATCAGAAGCAACTTTAAGCTCGCGTTCATGGCGCGGATCCTCTCGGGCACCTGCGAACATGGCGTACTGTTGGAGAATCTTCGTTATGGACCAGCAAGGTTGATTACCGTGTTGACAACAGACCGCATGTACCCCGTTATCAACCAAATTAAAGCAGTCATCATCCGATTTCTATAAATACCATTTATGTTGTCTGTTTCAAGTGGCCTTTTCCTTTATTATCTCTCTCTCTCTCTCTCTCTCCGATGCGTGCTACAATGCTACTCCCATCGTAAGCTTTTCAGAGCACTTAATTTTTTTTTTATAAACTGAAAAACTGTCGTACAGACCTGTAATTTTCGGAAAGCAAAGCGGATAATAATTTTTTTTAAAACTGAATATTAATAGGAATTTATCTGAGTTCTTATTTCATCTCAAATTGTATTTATGCGTGTTTCATTTCAAAATATTATCAAATTATTTCTTGTAAGCCCGTATTTTTTAAGTCTGTAACGTGGCAACGTTCCTAGTGTTGTCAGCTAACATGTTACAGCGTTGGAAATTTCGAAAACCGTGTGACCTGTCAAAGTCTTTGCGATACCTCGGGTGTGACGAAGTAACTGGGGCTTTTTTCAATGGTGATCTGGCCTCTGAACGAGTGCGGCATCTTGCGACGGTACCACTCCAGTCCCCGCCTGTAGTTGTCGTCTCTGTCGAAGAAGTGAACTTCTCCGGCCGCTTTCTGTACCCGGGGGTGGAGGGCCAGCATCTCGAGGAGCGCCCTCGTCCCACACTTCCTCACGCCGATGATGATTGCCTGTGGGAGCCTGCGACTGGTACGCGGGAAATGGACGCGGTTGGAGAAGATGACGCCTCCGGCACCACCGCCGATGTCCATCCTACTGGTGAGGATCTCCATATTGCCGTTCCCAGACCCCGCCGCCACGACGGCTGACTGCAGACTGTAAACCGCGCTGTCGTACAGCACATGGAACGTTAGGAACAGTGATAGGGTCATGACGGACAGTAGCGCCGCCGCCATCTTGGGCCTGGACAGTCCAACCACGAGGACACAGTCGGTTGCAGCTGCTTCGCCGTCAACCGACCGCATAGTGAGGCGCTGGCACGCCAACCATCTGGAATAAGTCATAGACGGTCACGGGAGGTGGGCCTCGCCCCTTCATGTTCCCCGAGAAGATTAGACGCCACCATTTTTCATGTTTCAAGGTCACGGTAAAAAACACTTGTTTCAATACGAACAGCGGAGCCCGGCCGAGTGAAGACAGCTCAGAATTCGCTGCGTACCAAAGCTGCAAGACGGAGTTAGTGACTGAGATCCTCGCGATAAAGGGGCGAAGTCCTTCCGTGGCGTTTTAGCATGAAATTTGGTGACGGATGCTGTAAAAGTTTGTATCATGTCGAGTGTTTGTGTGATTAACGGATGGTGAATTCGGAAGGAAGCGGTCACAGCTTTAATTTAAGGTACTATCCCGGCATGTGCCTGGAGTAAGGAAAACCACGATAAACATCAGTCGGGATACCTGATGAGCGAGCTGACATTTGAACAAGGGACCTTCGAAATACGAACCAGGAGTGCCCTAACCCCACTTCTTAAGAAAGTAGTAGTCTCCCAAATGGGCAAACTGCCCGCATTTCGTAGAATCGAAAGGTTCAATATCGTGGTCAGAGCAACCTATTCATCGCGTTCCTGAGCCAGCTGAATTCAGTCCACAAAGTTCCGTCGCAAGATCCTTTTTTAATATTATCATCGTCTCATCTGTGCTTAGTTATTGTAAAGGGTTTTCGGCTCGTGTTTATAAATATTGAGGAAGTACGAAAGTGAAAATGAGGACTTTCTTCCGGTAAACGGAGAGGGGCATAATTCCAGGTGGGCAAAGGATCGGACGCCCAAAACTTGTTTTTCAGTTCAGTTCAGAAATAAGAAACGTTAACAAGCAGCGGAATGGGTTGGAGAGGAAATCGGAACCTCGAGAAGAACGTCTTTTGTTCCTTTGTCAGGCCTCTAGACCCTGAGTCCGGTTGTCTGAAGGCGCGTGCAGCGATTGTTCTGTCCAAGATGGCTCCGCTGCGCACTTTTAGCGCAATGAACTTCGAGTCAAGAGCCTAGTCCTTTCAGCAACTCCGCAATCGATCTCGGGTCGTCAAAGCAGAACACGGGTCGCGCTTTGAGAGAGCCACAAACAAACAAACAAACATACGTACGGGGGCTGTCGTGACGCCTTCCATTCAGAATAGACAAACATGCGACGACAGAGTGTCATGTCCAAGTTAACAGTAAGAACCCACGAGCTGAAAATGCTAAAACGAAACAAAGAACAATTCCAACGTCGGGTTTTAGGTTTTCACGTCGATGGATCCAAAGATGACTGTCATAATCTAATTAAAAAATCCGACGTTTCGGAGATGCTTCCTGCCTCCATCATCAGGGCGATCACACACAGTCCTGATGGATGCAGCAAGCACCTCTGAAACCGCCCTGATGGATGCAGTAAGCACCTCTGAAACGTCGGTAAACTATCAGACTACACGGCACAACAACCAAGAAGACAGCCATCAACAATTCTAGCATTTATTTTATTAATATTCGACGTTTACGATGATTTGTACAGTCCCGGAAAAATAAACCCCCACGTGCAACCATTAAAATCCGTTTAGTTTCGAGACGTCACTACCAAATGATGATGGGTTGAACGCGTATACATTAGTAACATACGGTAGACTATTCAGTTTTTGATGGGCTAGGCGTGTAGTACGTATCAGGTAGTGGAGATACCGGTCTAAAACGTCAGTCCGAAAACCTGATGTAAGAGACCACTTGGGAGATGGGTAACAAAGCTTTAAGTCACCTCACAGGGTGTTTATGGAGTTTGCTTTTTTGTCAATGGGTGTACACTGATATTAACCTGACTTCTGATAGGAAGCATTTTATGGTCTAATGAACGCTTAGAGTGACTGTAAATAATACGGATGATGAGTCGGCAGGGATTAGTGAGGAAGGCGCCGTCAGCTGTTTAAAAAAATTCTAGTACTGGCATTATTTAATGACGTGACAATTTTGTGGGGACAGAAAGACAGATGAACCTGCGGAAAGCGCATTACTGTGTTAGAATTTATTGAGTAATTTAATTTATAATTTATCGCTGTGGGGAATAATGCTGACATTTGATGGGATTAATGTTGTTAATTGGAAGTCAGTGCACCTAAATTGAATAAAATTCAATTCAGATAGCGCATATTTTGAGTCCAATTCCTGTTCCAATTAACCTTTGCTCTCATATTAATTCAGCAGTGAAATGATAGTTGATATCCAAATTTTGACGTAGAAACTGAAACATCTTTCGTTGTGAGACGTTCAAATAAGAAATCCGTTCTGGTCTCGAATAACAACCGAAGGCAACTTTATTTATTTATCCTTTGTTTAATTAGCTATATGTCAGATTTGGACCTATAGAGTTAAATGATAATGACTAATGAACTGGACTGCGTATGGTACTTAAAATTTCAAATTAGCTACGTGTTAATTAAATCTTGAATTTTAGTGCTGAAGAATGTTACAGAGAAGTAATGTTTCATTACGTGTCGTAGCAACGGATGATAAATTACTTAATCTCTTACAGAAAATCAGGAGGAAACGGAAATGCGCAGCCAAGTATCTGGTCGTGTTCTGTCTGCTTGTGGTTGCTCATCAGTTCGAAGCCCCGCTCATCTCTGCTTGACGATCCTGGAAACAAACGACAGATCCATCACGTAAGTGAGCCTGCAGATCTGCGTAATTTAAAAATACAGTTTAACCCTTTAAAATAGAGTGGTAACTATATGTACCACCCGCTTCAACAACTCTTCATTTTGTATCTGTCGTCTACGTATCATTCTCGCTGTAAACAGCGATTACTTCCTTAATCAGCGTTAACCAGTTGATCTTTGTAATGGTGAAGTGTAGTGTTTTCTTCGCGGTACGGACTGAATCTTTAAATATTATTTAGACGCCTACGTAGTGTATTTATGTGTTTCGTATAATTCTCATTATAAACAGCGATTATCTCCTTGAACAGCGTTAACCTGTTGATGTTTGTAATGGTGAAGTGTAGTGTTTTCTTTGCGGTACGGACCGAATTCTTAAACGTAGTTTAGACGAGCTTCAGGCTTCCCATGATTAATCCTTCCGTGCTTGCTTTGCGCTGTATTTAACCAACTCTTCATTTTGTATCTGTCGTCTACGTATCATTCTCGCTGTAAACAGCGATTACTTCCTTAATCAGCGTTAACCAGTTGATCTTTGTAATGGTGAAGTGTAGTGTTTTCTTCGCGGTACGGACTGAATCTTTAAATATTATTTAGACGCCTACGTAGTGTATTTATGTGTTTCGTATAATTCTCATTATAAACAGCGATTATCTCCTTGAACAGCGTTAACCTGTTGATGTTTGTAATGGTGAAGTGTAGTGTTTTCTTTGCGGTACGGACCGAATTCTTAAACGTAGTTTAGACGAGCTTCAGGCTTCCCATGATTAATCCTTCCGTGCTTGCTTTGCGCTGTATTTAACGTATCATTCTCGCTGTAAACAGCGATTACTTCCTTAATCAGCGTTAACCAGTTGATCTTTGTAATGGTGAAGTGTAGTGTTTTCTTCGCGGTACGGACTGAATCTTTAAATATTATTTAGACGCCTACGTAGTGTATTTATGTGTTTCGTATAATTCTCATTATAAACAGCGATTATCTCCTTGAACAGCGTTAACCTGTTGATGTTTGTAATGGTGAAGTGTAGTGTTTTCTTTGCGGTACGGACCGAATTCTTAAACGTAGTTTAGACGAGCTTCAGGCTTCCCATGATTAATCCTTCCGTGCTTGCTTTGCGCTGTATTTAAAAGAGAAAGAGTGGGAACGCGTAGCAAAATTGTTTTCTTTCAGATCTTGCATAACGGCGTGTTTTGGTGGGAGGAAGGTGAAACATACGAAAAGGGATAAAAGCTGGAGATGCTATGAAATCATCCGCGTTGGATTTCAACGGGCCTGTTGCATCGGTAGGCGCGCGATCGTGCGTTATAGCTGCAGGCAGGACAACCCAGTCTTTGCCGCTGGAACGTAGCTGCACGTAAAACTACTGTCACGCCTACCCAGCTACTCTGTTCCGATCGCTGATTGTGGCTGCAATAATTAATTTAAAGGTGATTATGGATGTAATAGAAACGTCGATAGGTAGGCCTCACGCACATTACGAAATGTTGCCCCCTGTAATTAAGACAACGGATGTAATTGGTTCATTTAACAGCCTCTGTGTGGCATGGTTCATGGACAGTGCTGCTGCTAATAGAAAAGTTAACACCAGTTGACTTCAGTTTTGTTGTGCAGGGTAGAGTGGGGAGACAGGGACCGAGCGTGTAACTCATGGCAGGTATGTTAAATAATGCGTATAAGACGAAAATCTTGGTGGGAGGAATCACTTCGGAGACCTAGACATAGATGGCTGGTGAATATTAGAATGGAACGTAAGGAAATAGGATGGGACTGTGATGGCTAGATTCGTCTCACTCACTGTCGTGTCTGAGGGGTGGGGTGGGGGCTAATTAAGCACGGTAATGAACCTTCCGGTTCCGTAAAATGCGGGGAATTTCTTAACCATCTCAGCGACTGTCAGCTTTTCAAGAAGATCAGTGAGACCACACTTCATTATTATACATTTTGTACTTATGAGTAACATATGATTCTCGCTGTAAACAGCGATTAATTCCTTAAACAGCGTTAACCAGTTGATCTCTGTAATTGTGAAGTGTTGTGTTTTCTTCGCGGTACGGACTGAATTCTTAAATATTATTTAGAAATTTCGCCCTAAAGTAGCCCCCCCCCTCCCACGTGAACATCAAAATGTCGCCCTCCCAAAACCAATATCAAAATTGAAATTTCTCTGCGAATTCAGTTCGACCCTGATCAATTTGTCCTTCGTGCACTTTTCACCGCTCTGCCATTTTCATTTGTTTACCAGAAAGACGAGCGGGCACTGCCTGGGAACATTGTGGCAGTAAGATACACTGATTGTTCCTCCAGAAACGAGTATTTTTTCCTATAATTTTCTCCGTATAGGGAAGACGCTGTGAAATTGTTCCAGGGCGAAGTGTCCGCAGGTTGGTTACGTTTCATAACCTTCTGCCTCTATTTTTAGGGTTGTCCTGGGTTTTATTTGTTTCGGGCCGTGTTACGACGAGACCACTTTTACTCCGTGACCGCCACTGGGCAATGTCGACCGTGGGGACTGCGTGGTCGGAACACTTCAAATATTCTTCCCACTTCGCAATAAATGGGAGACTGCTTCAGCCTCGCCGTGTTCACGCCGAAGAACGCGATTATTATTCAGAGCGAACATTCTCATTCTCGAATCCTCAGTTTACGGAGATGCCCTTGGGCTGTGTTGAAACAAACAGGCACGAGTACCTGGCGATAAAAGAGTCCCGACATCACTTCTACGTGGCCATCGCTTTGTCTGTGCGTGCAGGAGACGTTTTTAAACTTCTGATTATTCCTCCTTAATCGAATGACTGGGTAAAGAATGAAGATGGAAAAATAAAAAAAATGGCATGACCTCTTAAGGTCGTTCCAAATTCTCCCACTTATCTGTCAATTTCGAGGCATGCGATGTGAAACAGCGTTCCTTAACCTTTACCTCAAAAGCTGGGTTAATAAATAGCTTATGTTTCTAAGAACAATGTCCTTTCGGTAATGACGTCACTGTTTGGGTCGATGGGGAATAATCGAAGTCGGATGACAGAGAAAATGACAGTTATAAGGAAAACAGATTTTTTGTTTTCAAAATGATTGCAGAGACGTAATTTTTAGAGTTGTAAAATATTCGGAAATTGTGATTTTGTTTGAAGACAGCCGTCTTCTGGGTTGTTGCGCCGTGTAGTCTGGTAGAAGTTTACCGACGTTTCAGAGGTTCTTGCTGCCTCCATCATCAGGGCGATGATCCTACGTGGTTTGTTTCCTGGTGGCGAGTTTGTATTGAAACGTGCGTCTTCCTCTACGTTTTCAGTAGCGTTTAAAGATTTAAAATTTCTCCGATAATGAAACCATAATCTGTTAACGATATACAAGAATAATTATCACCGTGGGGAAGAAACCTTGAGAAACTGTTAGTACACTCAGCTGGTCAATAAATGACCCGCCTTTCATGGCACTTAAAATTTCACTGCCGTGTTCACAAAAGCCCGCCTTATCAAGGCTCTGTGCAATATACGTGCTAGTTGACAGTAGGGAGTTGTTAGCACCCCCCCTCCGACCCCAAATCTTTTAGGACCAACCCTTGTCGGCTGTGACTGCGTATTCAGTAAATTATCCGCTACCCTTCATACCTGCCGTGGCGACGAGGGACGAACGTGTTCGATGCGAGGTGCACGAGAAAGTTTGAGGCATTTTACGCTTAAATTTGTAAGTCAGCTTGTATTTGTGTGTATGACATCTCTCTCTCTAGGTATTACGCAGTAGAGAGAAAGTGTTTTATAAAGTGTTTATATCCGCTTGAGGCCAATGTCTCAGCGAACACAAGAGAAAGGCTGTGGCAAGCGAGACTGAGCCCGTTAAGTAACTACACAACATGCATCTCACTCAGGAGCGCCACCTGACAACGGGTATCGATAACAGGCTGTATACGTAGTGGGGTCTCGGGTTCGATTCCCGGCGGTGCCCGAATTTATAACTTGTGTTGGGCAAGGCCGTGGTCTAGGCAACACGGAGTTTTCCTCCGTGGCATCCCAACAATTACTCCATTCACACACAGAAGAAGGCAATGGCAAACCACTTCTGGATCATCTGCCAAGAACGTATATGAACAGGTCCCAGTCCGAGAAAAGGATGGAAGGATCCTGTTCATATGGACCTGTCGTCAGACAGAACACTAAAAAAAAAAAATAACGTAGATGATGCAGTATTCTGGTTCCTCTGACACTAGACTGTCTTTAGAGTAAGGGCTCAGGAACACGTGCTTCAACTGTGTCTGGGAGGGAGAAAATATCTTGTCGTTATTGCAGCTGCTTACCCTAGTTTTCGTTAGAAATCAGTTTTGAAAGGCACTTCGTTGTTGCTTATGGTGTATGATATAAAAGGAGTTCTCATGAAAGGTCACAGTAGAGGGATAGTTTTGTCTTCGAACTAGAAAACGCGTAAATTTGGTCCTTACTAAACTGTCTTGCGATATCAGATGAGTAATGTTACTTGTTTTCAGCTGTATAAACCGATGCTATTTTTCCTCATTTCCGTTGTCATTCTGGTTATATTAGGTGGAGCAGTTTAAATCAAAAGTGGCTTAACAAGTCGGTTCTTCAGGACGGACCAGCTCAGATGTGGGTTAAGCTCATGCATTGGAATACACGCTCTTTGTAATGCATAAAGCAGTCGGATGTCCACCGCCGTTTCGTAGGTATGCAGACATGCGGTGTGACGAAACTAATGTGATGTGCCCCGTGTTTACAAGTTTTACTCCCGTGTGGCGCCAAGGCGATCATGTAGTTAGATATGAGCTGATTAGAGCTAAAGTGGTATAAGTCAGGAGATCAGTAATATTGAGTTATACCACCGTTCCCGTAGTCGACAACAAATATGCAGAGAGTTTAAATGGTCCGATTTATTAAAAAAGTTGGTTTCTTCGACTTTGTCTCTAGGGAGCTCTTTTGTGATGTTACATTCTTTCAGTTTTAGAATGTACATCTCTGAAACATCGGTTAAATTCT